AATATCATCAATTTCATCAGTTTGTTGAAAACCTCGTACAACCAATCTAGCTTTATAAGTATTATCAGACTTTTTAGTATAAACCCATTTAACATCCAGAATATTTTTGTTTGTATCATTTTTAACCAATTTCCAAGTTTTACTTTTATTTAAACTATCAATTTCTTTGTCCATAGCTGTTTTCCAATACTTACTTTCATTAGAATTTATCGCCTCCTCAAATGTATGTGGTATATCAGTTCTACACATATTTACAAAAATACTACTATTATATACATAGTAGTCATCAAATTTCTTTGGAGGATTTTTGGCTCTGTGAGATCTAGGTAACTCAGGTTCATTTTTATTCACACTATCATCCATACTTTCATTTGTACTTTCAAAAGTTTCATCTATTGAGTCATTTTCAGAGCTTTCATCAATTTTATCAGGGTAACACTCTTCATTATTATCATTATCTGATTCGTTAAAGTCTAAACCTATACACTTAACGTTTTCTTCAACAATATCCACGTGTCTAGCAACAATGACTCTGCCATTTAATAATACACGATAACCAACATTACTATAACCAATTAAAATTCCCATATCAGCTTTCTTATCCCATTTAGAGATTCTCTTCTGTTCTGGTCTTCGTACAAAAACTTTACTTCCATACAAACGCAAATTAGAAACATCAGGTTTCTGTCCAAAAAATATTTCATATGGAGTTTTCTTTTCAATTGTATCAGATAAAGTACGATTTTTCAAATAAACCGCAGCACAAACTATTTCAGGCCAATATTTTTTATGAATATCTGCTTCAGCCAACAAACATCTTGACATATCCATTATAGTTCGATTAAACCGTTCTGCAGTCCCATTCAATTCATGTACATATGTAGGACAATTATCAATTACTATACCCCTTTCTTTTGCAAATCTGTAGACTTTACTGTTCAAATATTCTTTCCCATTATCACATCTTAAAATCTTTATTTTCTTTCCAGTCAAATTTTCACTTTCATTCGTATATTCATTCAAACAATCACATACTTCTGCTTTTGATTTTATAGCATATACTTTAGAAATCTTACTATAATCATCAATGAAAGAAACAAAATAATTTTCACCTTTAAACCCAGTAGTTCGAAAAGGCCCACAAACATCAGTATGTACAATCTCTAAAATATCTTTAGCTTTTTTTCTACTGTTTACAAACGGAATATTATGCATTTTACTTTCAATACAAATCTTACATTTCATAAATTCAGATTCAAACTCATTAGGAATTCCATTCAACAGCTGATCTTTAGATAAAATATTCAAATATTTAAAATTTACATGACCTAATAAACGATGCCATTTTTCCTTTTGATTCATATTATTCATATCTTTATTTGCAACATTTACATGCAATTCAACTGATTTTAATTTACTTTTCATAATATATAAGCCATTATTTTTTAAAGCAACTGCTGTTATATTACCAAGTTTATCAAAAACTTTTGAAATATTACCTAGAGAAATAATCTTATTATTTTCTGTTATTTTGCTATAACTTATCAAATTTGATTTCATATCTTTAACATAGAAAACATTTTGCATATCTACTAAACTCTTTTTACCAAAAGCATCAAAGTAACTTAAAACATTTCCAATTTTAGTAGCTTTTACAACCCTATTATCTCCTAAATAAACATTAATGGGATCTTTAAGTAATTTACATTTATCAAATAATTTTTCATCATTAATAATGTGGTCTGTACAACCACTATCTAAAAGCCATTTTATTTCAATACAATTATTTACATTACCTATTTCAGTATTTTGTGCAATAACTGACATATCCTTACCAAGAGCTACTGTTGTAAGCCAAGAAGCACTGTTTCGCTCTTCGTTCTTCTGTCCTTGTCGGTTGAACCGCTGTGCACTTGTTCCATGCGTTCCGCGCTGTCCACGTGAGTGGCCACGTCCTCTGACGTAGCTTCCTCTTCCGGCTTCTTGTCGACCTCGCGTTTCTCTCCACCAGCCTCTACTGCTTGTCGTTTGTCCGCCATTACCCGACGCTTGATTGGCGCCATTTTTGCAATCTCGCTTGAAATGACCAACTTCGCCACACTGGAAGCATGATCGATCCTGTCGACCTTTATTTACCACAAATGTACTGGATTTTCTTCCAAAATCATTGTTTTGATTTTTTAATTCGGACATCATAACCTTAGTTTTTACGTAGTCTGCAGTTTGATCATCTTCTTTTAATGTATCTATTAAATCACCAATATAACTGTACGACTCTGGCAACGTGTTTAACATATAGTTCAATTTTTCCTTTTCAGACACACTAGCACCCGCGCTTTTTAACTCGTTTATAGCTTTTTCGAAGTCACTAAAAAATGTTGCACAGTCTCCATAGTTGTTCAATTTTAATCTTTCCAAGTTATTTCTACATACTATCTGCAATGCCGTTGATTCTTTCAAATATAAATTATCAAATTTCTTTATCATCTCATACGCCGTAGTTTTTTTCGTCGATGTACTCCATCTGTCGATCCGATATTGCACCGCATATATAATTCATTGCTTTTACATCATCGTCATCCCAATTTGTATCATCATTTTCATTTTTCGGTCTGGTTACCACAACATCACACTTCTTCATTTTCAAAAATAGCATAAGACGTTTTTTCCACATTTTATAATTCTCCCCATCGAATATAGGTATTCTAAAATCACTACTACCTGCCATCATGTGTCACACTTTTTTTTTTTTCAAACTGCACCAAACTTTTTCTGTTGTAAAAGGTACGACTTTCCAACCACGGACCTCTGCTACCATGTTAAGGTGTGGATTTGGAAAATAAATAGTCGTACTTTACTACTATTATAAAAGGCTTTATTTCCTATAACATACATACTAATTAACTAACCTAACTTAAGCCACCATACTTCATACTACTACCTACAACTACATGATACTCATTGACATTACTATTATTGTCTGTCATGTCAACCCATGACACTATGGGTGCGTTCCGCTTACTCTTACACCAATATATCTGTGTATACAATATAAATGTATTACATTCTCAACAGTTTTTAGTGTTTGTATTTTGAGAACAATTTCCGAAGTGGAAATTGAAATGTCAATAAACATATTTTAACCTTTAATTGTGGCTTATTCCCAGTTAAATAGTAATTAATTTAAAATGCCACAAGAAAATAGCTTTAGAATAATATTAATTACATATGTTTTACCTTTCTTTTACTGCTTGGCATTCTGCAGGGGTGACAAGAAATTTAACATATCTTGGCAACAGATGTTCTACCATCGCATCAGTTACTTCGGTCAATACTTTACTAAAAGTGGACCTTTCCATGGTAAAAAAAATAAAAATATAGTATATAATAAAATATATAAAAAGTAAATAAAATATAACATATTGGAATATATTCACTCAATTCTTAATATAAACAACATAATATCATGGTTTCATGTGCTAAAGCATTTGATCTTTGCACTTGTCTTAGATGGGGCTGGAGACTTTCGAACCAAATGCAAAGACAATTCCCTCGATAACTTAAATATCTTTTGAAATACGGCTTCCACTAATTCAACAGGATTTACCAAATCTCGCAAAAGTCTTCTCTGAATGTTTTCTTCATCCCTATCAATAAAATAATTTTGTTTACAAAAACATAACCTAAATAAATAATATACTATAATTAAAAATATCTTTAACAAACCTTCTAATAGCATCATGTAATTCTTCTAATAACTCATCGTTTATAATCCGGCCAAAATTCTGGACTAAATTGTTCATTTTATATTTTTATTAACTACACGTTATTCCCATCTACAAATAGTATGAGATTAAATCGTCTCTTTAAATTGAACCTATTATCAGAGAATATAATATATTATGTTAGCAAGATAACGTAAAACGTTACCACATAACGTTTTTTTTTTACAAACGTTATCTGTGATACATCACATCAATTTTTAGAATATAACGTAAATGCAGGTTAACGTGCACGTTATTTAACACATAGATAAAGAATATATATTACCGGATTTAACATTTATTTTATTTATAAAACATTTTTGTTTCGATACATCCATCCAATCACAGGGCTGATTTTTAAGATTCAAATTACGTCACAGGAGTACAGTTCAGCTTAATGTTCATTGGTTAGGCGGAAGAGGCAACCGGAGTAAGTCTAGGAACCGTGGAGCAGACCTATAGAACAAGTGCCGAGGAACTGACAGAAGATTAGTGACAGATCTGTATTTGGCAGTGTTGCCATATCACAAATAAATCCTGAAAGAGCATGCGATATAATATTAATTAATGTTCAACATTCTTTTTAAGTTTTTGAAAGAAGTTTAATTAATTTAAATTTAATTTATTATAATTTAAATTAACTTTAATTTTTTAAGCTTTTATTGTTATTCACATTTTAAGGATTAAATTGTCAATAATGATAATTTAATCTCTGCAACGTAAATTTGAAAAAATATCGATCTGAACAATCTCCAGTAACTAGCTAATACATTAACAAAACGATATTCAGGTACCATTTCACCCCAAAATTATAAGAAAATAGTCATAAAAATCATAAAATTGAAAGCTGCTAAACATCTGTTGCAATCTGGCAACTACTGTTTTCAAAATTTTGACAGTATTGCCAAGTTTTTTTACTAATCTACCAAAGGCCAATTATAATTTTTTTTTCTAATAACCAACTGCAACTAATATCAAAAGAAACAAATATTCATTCGTTCGTGTTTCATATAAATTCAAAAAATTTTAAAAAATACCCGATTTCATAAAATAATATAATAAAAATGTACTGTTTCAAAGCATATTTGAGGCATAAAACATACACATAATAAGGACATGGCAATACCGCAGACACAAATTTGACATGACGTTTATGTCAAATTCTCGGCACTTATTCCAAAGAGACGCTTCTATATTCTTTGCTTATTCTATAGCAGAGACAGCAGAGTTCTATAGATTTGCCGGATAGGCAATACTCTACTCCTACTCAGTCTCATCTGAATATGGATATTATGGAAGGTAAAGTTGAACTTAAGAAAGAGTATGACCAAAATGATCTAGAGCTATCCACATCAGCAGATCTAGAAGATTTGAAAAATGAAACAGGCGAAGATTACCCAGGTAAGAACAAAAGTTTTTATCTCGTATATTCAGTATATATCGAACCTGACTCTAGACTTCCCCATTACTTGCTGCTAATATGTATTTAACGCCTTTATCACCATCATCTGAACTCAATATGTGAGTTAACATAAGTGTACTATAAAATAAAAGTTTACCCAATTTATAAAAAATACCCCTCTTTATCCTAACAAAGAATATAGACTCATATGCGTCTGTATTCTTTGGTCGTAGTTGAGCATGAGGGTAGGACATCTAGGACACCGAAACTAAATGGGTTCTTATTCACTTAATGATTAATGTACAATGCTTTTTGGCATACAATATATAAAAATAACAACAAAATAACACTAAGAGTTAAATTTGGAACGTAAAATGTGTATTATATTGATTGTATTGTATTGATTGAATTAATGTATTATAAAACATTGGCTAATAAGTCGAAATTTTAATTTGGTATCCTATCCAATTTTATAGCCTTTATTCAATTTTTTGATTGAATGTAATTATGTTTAATAGATGGACACAAATTCTTGCATTCACCAATGATATCGTTATAGTGGGCAAAATTCACAAACGCTGCAAGCAAACTAGGACTTGTAAACAAGGAAGAAACCAAAAACAAAATGTTGGTTGCAAAAAACTTTCAAAATGTTCAATAGAAAATCCAAATTAACAACCATATATAACCAAGATATTCACTCATTTAGTGACAAAAAAATTGATGTATAAATACATGCTTTTTTTATTTAATTTATTGGTGATGTAAGCAGCTTTAATATAACCAATAACTAATTACATTAATAAATTAATGACTTTCACATTATGCAGGTACAGTCTTTTTTCAATAGGTGACACCAAAAGTGTTAAATATTCTCAAAAAGGTTTACAAATATTTCTCATGAGAGGATCATTACATTAAATTCAATAATGCCAATGATTAAAAGTTGATGATCCTCATACACAAAAAATGTGAAACTGGACACACTGCACTGTCATGTCATAGAGTACTTTTTTTCAATTTGTGGGTTTATTACACTTATGTTAGAATGTTGATGTTACAATGTTTTAAGAGTATAACCTGAATTTTGCAAAATATTATTATTTAGTTTCTTTAGCTATGGAAGGTAAAGTGGAAATTAAGAAAGAATTTGAAGAGTTTGACCAAAATGATAAAGAGCTATCCTCATCAATAGATGTGGAAGATTTAAAAAATGACCCAGGGGAAGATTACCCAGGTAAGAAAAAAGGTTTATTTTATCTCATAATTATAATGTGTATAAAAAAACAGGGCTCATTAAATTTCCATATTTCATCATTATCATGTTTGCTATAGTAGGTTTAATATAGTAATATATACATAATAATATAGTAAACATTATGTTTTTTTTTTATTAATGCATCAACCACGCAGAGTCATTAGCCTATTATTAGTTTATCTACAGCTTTGTTACCTTCAATTCCTACATGAGAAGGCACCCATAAAAAGTGAACTGGGATGTTCTTATTTGAAATGTTTTTAAGTTCTTTTTTAATAAGTAGAAGGAGGTTGTTACAGTATAATTGAGTCAGTGAGGATAATGAACTTAGAGAATCTGTGATTATTATACATCTTTCATTGTTTTTGTTTTGTCTTAACGATAGTGCTTTTAGAATTGCGAATAATTCAGCCGAAAAGATGGTTGTAATTGATGACAATTTGAATCTGAGGAGTCTTCCGAATAAATTGCTGCTCCAACTCTGTCATCATTTTTTGACGCATTGGTGTATTTGTCGTAGGTATTGCCATATCTGCTTAATAGTGTATGAAACTTTTGTTTAATGACGGTTGATGATATCTCTGATTTTCTTAAGGTTGATCTGCACCCTCCAAAAAATCAACGACAAATTCAAAAAATTTGAAAAAAAATGAGAAGGTATATGTGACAATTAAAAGTATTTTGACAAAGTTTGAACAAACTTCATGTTTTCGTTTTCGAAAAAACTCTAAAAAACTACTTTTTTCCAAGTATAAAGCAGGAAAACCAGACATACAATTTTGATAATTTTTTTTACAGCATAAAGATATAATCCTAAGAAATACTTATGAATTTTTTGAAAATTTTTGAATTTACAGTTTTTTCACAAGGGGAAAAAATGTTATGTTCCGGCTTATAATAAAGCTACCGGTAAGAAACCGGGAAAAAATTTAATAACAACATATATAAAACTGTAAAAGTGGAATATATTTGCAATAAAATGTTGAATATTTTTTCCTAAACATATGAAAAATCTCGTTAAACAATAATTATATCTTGAATTGCCGGCATCAAATTGTATACTAGAGAGTGGCTCCATCTCAAACGTTGGTAGTATTTATCATCGATAGATTGCATTACTTTCGGCCTCGAAACGCTTCAAGCGAATCGTCATACTAGCAGGGTTGCCATATCAATTATTTTGTACAACACTTTGAAAAATTACAACAAGATTTAATAAGAATGTTATTGGTTTGAATGAATTTTATTTGGCATGCTAGAACTTACAAAATAGTAGATACTGTACTATTCCATCTACAAGTAATATATCTATAAAAAACGTATTTAGTTTTTAAAAACCTATTTAGGCGTTTTTAGTTAATTATTTTAGTATTTATAAACAATAGTCTTGCTTGCATAACATATTAGTGATAATTTTTATATTATAATATAAGCATTAGTTATTCTTAAGTAATTCACATTTGTCAACTTGTATTTTAAATCTTGTGTCTCTTAATTTCTCAAAAATCTTCTTAAGATTTACCATATGTTCTTAAAGTGAGGTTGAAAATGTCCCTGTAGACTAGATATATTTCGCCTGTAAGTCTTTTTAGTATGTTCTCCATTACCTACTCTCTAAAACGTTGAGGGTGCATTTTTGAGTCCGAATGGCATTCTCAGGCATTCATAGTGGCCATTTTCAATGTTAAGTCTTCGAGTTAAGTTCCCTTAAGTTATGCAGTCTTCCAAATATATTCTTCCTTCATTTTAATTTGATGGAATCCGCTGGCTACAACTGGGTGGAAAAATATTTGCAGCGACCTAGTTTGTCCAGAATGTCTGTTATATTTGGAATTGGGTATAGACCATCGATGGTTTTCTTGTTCACCTTCCTGTAGTCGACAACTATTCTCCATTTAATTTTTCTTGGGCATCTGGTTGAATTTGGAATGACCCACATTGGGGACGACCAGGGCAATTGTCTCAGTTTGATGATTTCTTGATCGATCATCCTTATGGATGTGTGGATACCGATTTGACTTGGTGTAAACCGGAACTTCATCTCTTGTTCGTATATGATGTTTTATTTGGTTAGTAAATGTTAACTGACGTCTGAATAATGAAATATGCATGATGCAAACTTCCTGCATTGTCGTTTTCGGTAAGATTCTTCTATTGTATTAAAATGATCGGTTCTTAGAAAAAGATCGACATCTCTTAGATTTATTGGTTGACTTTTGATGGGATCCGTTATTGCTACTTGAATATATTCATCGGTGTTATTGACTAGCTCGGTCCAGGCAAGTTGATTACATGCGACGGTGAGAATTTCTCTTAGGATGACACCTTCGACTTCTTGTTTTTAGATGACGATTTTACCTGATGTTTCTTTTACTGTAAATTTGACTTGTATAATTCTTTAGGGCTCTTGGTGGACTATATAGAATTGGGCTTTATTTGTGGCATAGTAATTAATAGGAAGAATAGAATGCGCTGTAGTAAGAGTAGCTTTGGTAGAATCGAGATTTGCTTTAAGAAGCCTTAAGATTAAGACCATCAAATGTCTTGTAAGCTTTGAAAATATAAAATTTTAAGTTAATATTTGAGTTAAATTCGGAAAAAAGTGGAATTTCTACACAATAACCTTCTGAATGATTCTAAAAAATTGATGCAGCAACTGGTTCATATTTAATATTATTTTTGTGGAATTTATTTGTTATATCAGGATTAAGAAAAGATTTAGTGGCTCTTGTAACAATAAGAAGTTTAAGAGGGAGATTTTGAATTTTAATGTAATGAAACTCTCTTTTGTCAAGTTTCTTTTTTTTCTTTTTGAAATCTTAGAAAATTTACATCTTTGTCCTCATATTTTTGAATTTTTTGTTCATAGTAAGAGTAATCTGGGTATGTGTCTATATATTTTCGTCATACTTGCTCTTGTTGTTCGATATTAAAGAGCTCTTTTACCGTAAATCGGGGCCTGGCTGTCTTTTGAAAGTGGAAGTTTCTTTGAGATTGGGGTCTATTGCCGGTTTGGCGTCTAAATACGCTAATAGGTGTTGGCTTATATGATTGAGATGGATATGGTTTATGAAAATTGGGTTGGTTAGTTGTAGAATTTTGTGCATATTAAGTGATTTGTTGATTTTGTTGGAATCTAGGGGGTTGAAATGTCACTCTTGGACTATTGTTGAATGGCTGTTGTTGCAAAGGCATTTGGTTTTGCCTAAAGAAAGGCTGTGGCCATTGGGGCTTGGGTACCTCAGGCTGCCATCGTGTAGGAGCGGGTGTATGAGTTAAATTGTGTCATTTGTGAAGTGGCAGATGGTTTGTTAGAAGATGATAAGGAATAATTATGAGATTTTTTAAGGTATCTAATTTTTTTTCTGAATATATCGGATAGCAAGAGCGAGATTCGCTGGTCTCATGGATCGAATTGTTGATCCTAGGGGTTCTCTTAGACCTGCCAAAAATATGGTTAGAGCTTGTTGAAAAAATTATTTTTTATTTCTTTTAACTTCCTCATGTTATGTGTGAAATTCAATGTGATTTGAAATAGTATTTAAAATATTCATGCCTTATTCATGAAATTGATGAGGATTTTTGTCTGGAGCTCGACGAAGATTGACTAAATCTCTAGTTAATAAGTTTTTGTTACGTTGGTCTGCAAAATTTTTGACAAAAACTGATTTCATTGACGGCCAGTATTTACAGCCGTATACAGAAATAATGTTTCTGGCTCTTCCTTTAATTTTCTTCATAATTCCTCGTGTAAGCATATGCTTTTAAAAATTTTCGGGATTTGTATGATCCCAAAAATGGTTTAGAAGCATGGAATTAACATCAATAAAATTGTGATTCATTTGGATTGCCGTCGTACTCTGGTAAGATAGAAAAGTCTTTATTAACATCAAAAATGGGTGTCATATTAGAATTATTTGAACTGGACGCTGGTGTAATAATTATAAAAGGTATTTCAAACGAACTTTTTTATATTCGTATTCATATTCAATGTCTAAATATTGCACAAGAAGTTATATTAATAACTAGGACAAAATCAAAGTCACTAAGAATCGTCTTTAATAAATTAGCTGATGTAATTTCTAAGTTATCAAATAGATTGGCATCGATTAAGGATTTTCTCGAGGCCTTTGAACAACCTTCTCAAAATAACTCAATGGAGTTTGTATACAAGAAGCAAATATTCATTATCACTTTCCATGTTTTTGGTATTGGCAAGGTTAACAATAGTAATAAGACTAGGCCATTAACAGTTAAATTTGCAGATAATGATAGTCCATTATTTATGTTGCACAATAAGGTGAGGTTGTTAAGAACCAAATTTTCTAGAGTTTAATTTTGAAAGATGACATAAATATCAACTAAACTATTTGAATAAATTGCGAGAGGAACTGGAAAAACGTAAAGTACTTAACAAAGAACTAACAATAAAGTATATTAATAAAGTTCCAACTATTATTAGTAACAACCAACAAAATGCCGCAAAAAACGAATAAAAACAACAATAAATATTTTTTAGACCAATATTGCTTTTTAACATGCTTTTTGCATTTACATCTTTACATCAAACATTGAGTTGGTCTACTCAAACAGCAAAAGTAGTTAGTAAAGCGAACTCTGCTTTATACTTAATATCAAAAGCTTTTTATAGGATGTCTCCGGACTTGTTTTTATAGTAGAAGCTACTAGTTTAAATATTTTCAAAAACAAGTTTAATGAAAACGAACAGAATATTGTACCTAGTCTTACGTTAACTATATTGTTTGTATTTTTTTTTCTTTTGAAAACTATTAAAATGGTAAGGATATAATTGGTATGATTTCTCTTCATTAGAATAATTTTTGTAATCTTATGTACTCTTTGTAATATTTGTATATTTGTAATTTGCTATTATGTATTGCAAAAACTTTTGTAAGCACTCATTCTTTTGAAAATTATTTTTATTTTTACTTTGTGAGAAAATTTTATTCATATTATAT